CATATATTTTGATACAAAGCAGGGTATTTATTACCACTCCTTCTTTTTTCCTTAATTATAAATATTGTTTTAAATAATATAAACTTTATATCCCTAGGGCACTTAATTCAAAATTCAAGGAGAATATGTAATTACAAAATTAATCGTACATAACAAGAATGATATTTCAGGACCTGTGTTGCAATCAGAAATAATTCTTCCATCATCGTTCGTGCTCTGTCTGATGACCCTGATTACGCACTATTGTGACTGAAGTGGCCGTCAAAATGTCTGTAGTATACATAACAAATTTGCAATTCTTTAGGTTTTAATATCTCGCGTAATCATGTTTTGGAGACACATAATAAATTATGCATATTGTGAAAGCCAATGTTACACTCAATTCTGTGATGAAGACAGATTTTGCTTATAATTGTTTGAGTTATGAGAGAAGGCATAGTGCACAACAAATACGATGAGAATACTGCTGTTGCTCTCGATTGGTTTAGCGTAAGTCATATAAACAGCGATATATATACAGCGATACCAAACAGTAAAATTGAATAAATAATACCTGATAAAATAATAACAATTATTGTAAAGAATAAAAGTTAAAAGAATATAAAATATATTTATTGTTCCCTATAGCTCAGCAACACGTCTGAAGACTTATAACACTAAAAATTTATACATGCTTTTGGTACCACACAGATAACTCATTGTGCAGCTTTGTGCTCAAAAACAGACAAATCCAATAGATGTAATTGAAATAATATGATAAGGAAAACCAAGAAAACATTTATATATATAAAATTTGCAACAAAATAGCAATGCAAATGTATATATAAATAGAATGTGCATTATTACAGTACTGTAGCTTGTTTTTTACGCCCAATGAAGTTTCAGTTTGCACCTTAATAATGTGTCTGGTCTTATGAATTTTTTTGACACTATGTTTGACTAATAACTCAATGTCTAATACAGACAATTAAATCAGTTCTTCACCTATGAATTTGGCATGTAATTTCAGGATGTTTTCCATCTACTGTTGCCATGGCAAATGACGGTAATGTCTGTTTAAGACGGAAAATCTTCACAGATTTTCCACAGATCCTCCATTGTACATAAAAGTCAGCTTCTAAAATATCGTTTAAGTTAATCAAAAAACATAAGTTCATCGTAGCAAGATCGCAGGACATGCCAAGTTTCAAACCGTCCCTATTGACAAACGTTTCACAGATCCTCCTTTCTAGGTAAAATTCAGCGTCAAATACATCGTTTAAGTTAATCAAAGACTTATATATTAATTGTAGTAAGGTCGGAAGACTTGCCATATATATACAGAGGGTTGTGTGCATTATATCAAAATTATTTTGAATATGCAAATGAACGAGTCATGTATAAGAACTACATTTTCACATTGTTTGATGTTACATATGTAGCGTGATACCATCGACAATTGATCGCTTTTAAGAAAGGTGTGTAGCATTCCTTTTCGACGAAAAATATTCATGCACTCAGATCGTAAAGATGTGTTCAAATAAGAGATTTGGATTTCCTAAAACAGCAATTATTGCTTGCACTTAATGACATTCGAAAACAAAGGAATATGAATCAACTTGTAACAGGATATCCGTTGTCCTCCTACACTTGAGAAATAATTGAAAGCAACAAGAGAGGAGGGGTGTGCTTGGAGATCATAGCCTTACGACGAAGTCTTTTGTAATTTGCAGGGCCATTGTTAAGATGCGTTGTTGTAAGTTATGTTAAGTTATGAATTTCGCGCAAAGCTACACGAGGGCTATCTGCGCTAGCCGTCCCTAATTTAGCAGTGTAAGACTAGAGGGAAGGCAGCTAGTCATCACCACCCACCGCCAACTCTTGGGCTACTCTTTTACCAATGAATAGTGGAATTGACCGTCACATTATAACGCCCCCACGGCTAAAAGAGCGAGCATGTTTGGTGGGACGGGGATTTGAACCCGCGACTCGCAGATTGCGAGTCGAGTGCCCTAACCAGCTGGCGATGCCGGCCCTGCTGTTATAAGACAAAGCATGACCGAACTTGACTACATGGACTGTAACGACGTAGTGAGACTCCAAAATTGTTTTAATATAACGTACTCAACCTATTTAGTCGATTGGAAGTGCTATAGTTTCAGTTTCTTCGCTATCTTTCTCATAAAAACGAACATTTATTTCAAGTGTGGCGATAGATTTAAGAACTCTTTGTTTCTAAACATTTAACTCCAATTCCTTGTTTGTTATCTTGTTACTGTACCAAAAATATGGTAAACAAAAATACAACATATAAGACACAATTCTTATAGTGGACACACAGTAGATATCCCATTGCGTACTCTAGCACTTAACAGCAAAACAGAAACAAATCTCTTCTGCTGAGAACAGTTATTGGTCCGTCCTCCGAACTGTTGTGTCCTTTGCTCTACATCGCTTAACAACTTCGCCATACGAATATACTTTCTTTGAAATGACTGAGACGCATCTTACAGCCATAAATCTACCCGTGGGGGTTTCAACTATTGAATGGTCAGAAATTCTCCGTGTGCCAGATATGAAGATACTAAACATGACGTCTATGGTTCCATATCGCACGACTTAGACGACACGCTACTATATTAACATATGCAAATCGTTCTGTCTGTATTCTCATCATATCAAAATGAAATTCATTAATGTTTTTATATGGTTTGTTTGTTTTATATCATCCGTCACTTTAGATTTAACACAGTTTTAGTTTGCCAGTATACCAATAACGTTGCGCTTAAATTTGGAAATTACAAATAACTATAACGAGAACAGGCAACGTGATCAAACTACGTATAAAGATATCGATTGGACGAATGGCAAGTCTGAAGTAACGGCCGGAGACTAAAACAATAACATAAGAAAATTGTAGGATCATTGTTATATCTATTTATGTGAAGAATTCGTGAGCATGGTAAATCATTAAAAACGTTGACTGCACTAGCCTTTTAAATATTGTTCACACAAAAGTCGTCAAATTCAAAAACTGCCACGTGAGTTATACTTGTTATTACGCACACACACTGCTCGATATTTAAAGATGATAAACACACTATTAACTATCATATCATCAGATCTCCCTTTGCAATATCTGCGAAAAAGTACAAAAATAATTGTGCTTACTCTCAATTATCAATATTATTATATATTTTTTGCCAGCTATCAAATCATTTATGATCGTTCGAAAGTATTTCAGATTTAGTTGTTTTTATATTGCTCTTGGAAATGGAAAAAAACTTTGTTCAGTAATGTATGGTATTATTTACATATAATATGTATTGAAATAAATTATCCTACCAATAATCAGTTTCCATACCCAATATCAATATAACTGTATGCCTGGCATTTATTTTCTGTATTTTGTATTTCCTTTTGTCGGTTTTGTAATTTATAAATCAATCTGTCTATTCCATAATGATTCCAAAAGGATGTTTAAAAGCGGTTTCCATACACTTCTTTACTCGTACACATAATTTGCTTTCGAGTTTTGTATTCCACCAAAAAACCGAATTTTGAATGTCACGAAGAGCTCGTAAACCGACAAATTTTATGTTATATTTTATGCTGCAAAGGCTACAATAAATCATTATTCATAGGGCATATTTAAAACATAATAGGTAAACATAATTCCTAGGTCTCAGACTAAATTACCGTTTTGCCCCTAAATAACGCCCCCGGGAGTATTGCAAACTGCAAAAGGGGGTGCCAATTTTTCACATGTGATTTGGTGATTTCAATGCTAATATGTGTGCGTGTATATGTTTGTTTTTCTTTATTTTTCAAATCAAAATTACGGAAATAAAAATGGATTATAATGTTGTATTACTATTGCTGTAACACAAGGTTAACTCTGCTGTAACACAAGGTAAGCTCTTTAAAAATACCGGGGGCGATAATTATGGACGGTAAATAGAGAAACTTAACCAAGTTTATCTTTGTCAAATGAATGAAATGAAAATAATCAATATTGCGAAAGTTACCATGAAATGAGTATACAATTCATTACGTCTGCTATTTTGAAGAGAAAAAAAAAAGTATTATTTGTTGAATCGCAATTATACACTAATTAGATGTTTTCTATCATTTTATTTTTAATGGTAATACTCGTATAAAGGTAGTACTCATTGTAAATAAATAATCAAAAGTAGTGATAGAATAACATTTTAAAAATGAACTTAAATTCCTAATACTTGAAAATGTATAGTGTGCATCGCTGACGAGCATTTCCTGTCTTGACTTCGCTGAAATTAATGTTTTTTTTTATAATTTGTAAAGCAGTAAAGCTCAATCTATTTTTGTTCTAATTTACAAAAGTGTGTTTGTAATTTGTTTGTAATTAAGCATAAAACTACACAATGGGCTATCTGTGCTCTAGCCACCATGGGTATCGAAACCCGGATTCTAGCGCTGTAAGTCCGCAGACACACCACTGTGCCACTGGAAGGCCATTTACAAAAGATCAATATAGCATAGATATATTGTCACATGTTAAAACATATTACAATCTACTATGTTGTACCGTGATTATGTTTAACCGTGTAACATTTAAATCCTGTATTTTAAACTAGAAACCAAAAATGCATAGAATTATTTAGAATTAATATAGATACGTCAACAAAAAATAAAAGATGGAAAAGCATAGTTAACTAACATTATCCCAATTACAATACACTTTATACAATATATTTCAATAGTTTAAAAAAATATTGGTCTGAAGTATGATGTTTAGCTTAGTGTAAATGTCAGATCATTTAGAAATACGTTTCATTAAAATAATTTCTTAAAATGGCACTTAATCAGAGTTTAAACATTTATATAGTTATGCTCAAACATCCAAAGTAGAATAAATATAAATATCATTGAATTACAGAACCGTATGTTTTATGTCAAGTCAGTGATAAAGTGTTCAAAACAATAAATACGTAAATGTTTCCCAATAAAAAAGTATGGAGAATTATCAACTTAGAACTTACTCAGAAAGAGAAGAGATGATAATATAATAACCCGAAGTACAATTCTTAGAAACCGTCTTGCGCCCAACGACGAAAGTGAGCACTCCCGAGCTTCCAGCATCCCGTTTATAGTGTATCAGATAGCATATACAACTCCGAAAGTTTACTATAAAACTTGGGTTGAAGAATAGTTAATGGAAAACCTAGACAATGTTTCCATGACCATTTTGAACCGGTTGGCAAGTGTCATGCAGTTTAGTTGTCAGGTTTATCATGATCCACCTAAGAAACTAGAAACAGACCTCGCATTTCTCCACTCGCACGCGAGACCGAGATTCCTCCAAGTGCTTGTGGACTGGCTGCATCACGGAAGCTCTTTGCTTCCTTACGTCACTACATAAAGAAGTCACGTGGACAAGAGGGGCAGGACATATTAAGATGAAAACACAGAAGAAAGAAACATTATCCTACAAGAAAATATATAAATAAATTAGTCTTCTGTATAAAAATATACAAATCGTACTTGAATGTTCAGTGGACTTCAGATGAATACAAAATGACAGAAAATGGAAAACATATCATACTCAAAACTATTTTGAAACCTATTTAGTAATGAATTCTCCTTACGAAACCTATACGCAGAAAAAACGTTTTAATTGTTTAAAAAACGTGTTTTGTCTTTTCACAACGTGTTAAAATACATTGGGAGTGGTTCATTAAAACTCTCAAATGTATTCCTCTTAGAATGTAAATTACTTAATATCTGAAACTTATATATAATGTATAGAATAAACTAATTAATATATGAAACTATTAAATAGTGCACAAAATAAATTGATTAATCTCTGAAACTGTTATATATTGCATAGAGTAATTTGCATAATTTCTGAAACTGTTATATAGTGCAAAAAGTAAATTTCTTAATTTCTAATACTGTTATATATTACACAGAATAAACTAATTAATTTTTTCGAGATGTTTTTAGCACGTATGTAATGTTCAATTTTGAAAACTAAAAATTTATTTAAAAACAAGAATTATTTTATACACAATTCAATAAAATGAGATTGTTTCCAGTCTCCGAATTACTAAAATAATAACTTACTGTACAAGGTTAAAAAGTGGTAAAATCTCCGACGTGACTGGAAAACAATCTCATACACTCATTGCTTGATTTCTAATACTGTTATATAGTGCACAGAATAAACTAATTAATATCTGATACTATGATATAATGCATAAAGTAAATTGCTTAATCTCTGAAACTGTTATATAGTACACAGAGTAAATAAATTAATCTTGAAACAGTTATATAGTGCACAAAGTAAATTAATTAATATCTGAAACTATTATACAGTGCGCCATATTTAACAGCAATATTAGCGCTCACACAAGAATTATCGTTATCCTAATTTTGGAAGAAACTAATGCAAACAAACAGACGTTATTACATGTGAGTGACAGGAACTTTAGTATTTGTTTGAAGTTAAGTGCAAAGCTACATAAAGGGCTCTCTGTGCTCTGCCCACCACAGGTATCGAAACCCGGTCTCTAGCGTTGTAGAACTTCAGTGAATCATGTCTTATAAATCTTATATCACTGATACGCTAATCATATGTTACAAAAGTTCTACTAGACATTTGATTGTACTTGTTGATGGGTTAAAAATGTAATTTACAAGTTCTTGAGATCCCTTCTCATCAAAAGAAGATAGCTATGTGACAAATGCTTGAAACGACTTAATTCAGAAACAAACTAAAGCTGTTTATTTCTATTAGAAACTTTTCTAAAAACAGCACTTGATTATTTCGAACACTTCTTTAAGATAAGACTAAACGTTTACAAATTTTCATGAGTCACGTGTATCATAAAACCTGTAAATAAAAATACTAAAATAATAAAATATAAACGGTGCCATAAGTTTTTATTACAATCATCGTACCTATAACAATTTCCAAATTTAGTTAAATTGTTTCTCCAAATCTTTCGTTAAAGGGGGTATTGTTATCCCTGTGATATATATATATATATATATATATATATATATAT